TGATTGATTGTATCTGTTATCGTGTTGAGTATCTACAGTACCTCCGCGCACGGGCCAATAGGCGGTGACGACGCCTTTGCCAGTGCTCGTGTCGACCAATCAGTGTCGCGGATCAGTAGGACTCAAAGTCGAGTCCTAATTGATTCCAACACCCTTCTTTCTTTCTTTTTTTAACATATCGAAGTTAGTTCAATTGGACAAACGGGATAGATTTCCGTTGCAAGAGAAACTCCACACAAAAAAACGACAAGAGCGATCTAGAATAATGATAGTGTCTATTATTCGTGTAGTATATGAATAGATTACGGACCGACGTTGTTTAAATCGGTGTTTGCTTGTTTAGCACATTAGAATTATTTTTCAATGAGAACAAAAAAAATGCAAGTTTTTTCCAACACTCATGACATGGGTCAAAAATGAAGAAAAAGACAAATGTCATGATACGCTATGAAAATGCATTCAAATAGATAAAAGCTATCCAGCCCTCATATTCTCATCAATCGCCAACTCCCTGTTCCTCAAACGAACCGAGTAACGCATTCCCTATCACATCATCCGTCGTGCCCCATACCTCACAATCCAACCTTCCTTTTCTTCATGCAACAACATCTACAACCTAACCTCACCCTGCCTCTTAATCCCAAACTTGCTAAGCCGAATCCTAGGCACCACACCAACCAAGACAAGCACACTCGCCGTAATCACCGCCCAATGCTGCATATGCCCCACATAGATATTATACGTAGTCCACGTAGCCGCACAAATAGTAGCTAGACCCAGCACAGCGATAAAGTAACCAGACAGTCTATGGTACTTGTAGATGCTCTTAGCATTCTCAACACTACCATACAGCTGGGGCACGTAGTACTGGGTGAAGCCAACAAGCGCCTGGAGGTATACGAGAACGTAAAAGGCGAGACCGAGACGGGCGTGTGCAGAGGCAAAGTGCTCGTGGCCGGGACCTTGCTTGTTGATTTCGATGATGATGAGGCCGGCGGTTAGGGCGGATGCGCCGACGACGTGGAAGAGGAAGTGGGCGAGTGTGCCGGTGCGCTTTTGATCGGGCGTGTGCGTGGGTTGCAGGATAAGGGCTGCTTGGATGGCGAGGAGGAAGCCGGCCTATGGAGAAGGTATCAATGATACGGTTGTCGCGAAGGGGTTACTAGGGTGGTGCCGGGGTTGCTTACAGAGTTGAGAAGCTGTTTGGCGGGCGGTGGTTAGCTGGTTTGCTGGAACAAGACGTTAAGTTGAGGGGTGCTTACTGGATGCGCGGAGAAGAAGATGAGTTTGTTGGAGAAGATGGCGCCCCAGACTATGGCGGCGAGAATCCAGATACCGGCCTGGGCGATGGGGGCAGTACCTGTGTATTTGGTTAACAGCTGTCGCCCTTCGCAAGCCTAGTCAGCAGCTTCACATACCAATCCACAAGTTGTGATACAGCGGCTGGCCCTGCATCTGGCTTGCATCGCCTCTTCTGCCGAGGAGCGGCTCTTCTTCGCTCTGGCCGCGCGCGGCAGCGGAATTAGGCGGGATTCCGGTCGCAGAAGCCATTTTGAAGCACGTAGAATGAAGAACAGGTTGACTGCAATCCTAGCGTACGACAGCGGGAGAGAAGATAGGAAGAATCAATGTCAGCGCGCGACGGGAATCCAAGGGAAGCGTCGGACTTTAGAGCATCTTAGCACCTCATGCCGAACAATGACGACACCAGCATCCCTGCACAAATCCACCAATCAACGTGGGCTGGTTGTAAGGTAGTTGACTGCCGCAGCCAATAGGGGCAAAGATGACAGCCTGCAGCACAAGTGGTGATGTTTGCATCGCTGGTTTTGGGGGAGGACGAGGCCGTCTTTGGATGCGGCATGCCTGTCTAGCCCCGTCACATAATGGTCGCGTGAAACTGATGCATGCATACACATACCGCTGGCATGCATTCCCCGGTACGCCCAATCGCCATCACAAAGCTTGATGCGCTGAAGAAATATCAAGTTGGTATTGTCAATTCCTAAGTATACATCTTTTCCCTTCCCCGTCCATGACTCTGTGTCCTATATTGTACAAGTGTGCGCCCTCTGCGTAGCGCGGCATTGTATCGTAAACGTCTCGTCCGCACCCTAGTGTTGGTCCTACCCTTTGCCCCAGGCACCCATTATGCCAATAGCAAGCAATCACTCTCCACTTCCCTTCATCTTTCCAAATGTCCATACGCCATCAAATGCCCATTGCATTCATATCGAGAAAAAAATGTACATTCCTTCCCAAAACAAAAAAATCCTTTCACCCCAATCCAACGTAACGGAATACATCTTGACGCGGTAAATATGCAAGGGTAATACGCGTCTAATGCACCCATAACAAAAAATCGTCAATAATTCTTGCCTGTCCGCCAGAACCATCTACTCGGTTTCCAATTGCGCCGTTCGCTCATGCTAGTAGGAGCAGTGCTGAGGTCCATGCCCCAATAATGTATACGTGTGAGTCTGTGTGCGTCGAAATTAAAAAAAAAGTAAAAAATGTAGTTGCTCTCACTTCTTCTTCATAAGAGCAGGCGGTTTCGAAGGGTCCGCTGGATCCAAGAACTTGGTCATGGCAATAGAAAGCTCCTTGAACTCAACCGGTTTCGTCACGTACGAGTTGAATCCCGCTTCTGCGCACTTCGCATACACATCCCCAAGGACGTTTGCCGATAGCGCTATAATCGGGTGCCGACGGTACCCATGTTTCTTTTCCCAACGTCGGATCTCTTTGCAAGCCTGGTAGCCGTCTTTGTTGGGCATATGCAGATCACACTGGAGTCTTGTTAGCCCAGCCCGCACTCATGACATGTGTATTTGCTTACAAGGACAATTGAGTAGTAACCCGGCGGCTTGGAGAAGATGGCTTCTGTCGCCTGAACTCCGTCGAGCACAGTTTCGGTCGCAATGTCGATTCTAGCCAGGAATTTCAGGATGACCTACATTAGTCAGTATCAGTCAACACAATGCACTGCTTATATCTACTCACAGTCTGGTTGATCTTGTTGTCCTCAACCAACAACACTTTGTGGTTCTTGCCGCCAACCCTTCGTTTAAGCTCTTCAAACACAAGCTTCTGACTAACAACAACCTGCTGCGCGCTGTCCTGGTTTCGATCGGTACTTGACTCGCGTTGCTTCTGCGGATCGAATATGATGGCGAATTTCGATGGCTTAAGAGGTCGATACACAAATTCCAGGCGGCGGTCATTGTGGAGTTGCTCATAATCATAGACCGGTGCCTCCTTCATGAGCTCCTTCTTCTGCGAAGGATCAGACACTATGACGACCGACGTGTTGCTGTAAGCCGTGGAGCTGAAGATCTGATCAACAATGGCATGCACTTCGGCCGTGTCGTGCAATACAAGCACAACGTGGGTGAACAAGACAGGGTTCTCGCCACCCATCATCTTCTGTGCACCAATGATACTCGGCTGCCCAGTGACTTGGTGAGGGATTCCCTGAGGTAGCGTGTTCTTGATATGCCTTATCGTGGCTTCTCTGCTGTGTTCAAGAGGACACACCACCAAGATTGAGTACATGGGAGGCTGTAGGGAGCTGCCCAATGGAGAAAGACTGCGGTGTGGCGAGCCTGGACGCACAGTCTCATTCGAGTCAACAGAAGTGCTGGATTCATCTGGTCGTGTTTCTTGGTCGCTGTTAGCTCGCTTTGGAGGCAAGGCCAAATTCATGTTCGTGTTCGAGGCCGTACTGGTTTCGTGCATGTAGGATGACGCTGATGACCTTTCTGATCGCAGGCTCGACTGCCCAGTCAGTGCAGAGCTTGTCAAAGAATGATCCGAACTCCCAGAAGAGAGCGCAGGAGAGTCCCGTGAGCGTTCAGAGGTGGTCACGCTAGGCACAGGCGACTTGGCCGACTCACTCTTCTCCGACGACACGCTCGAGACGCGCTTCAGAGGCACATAGCCAGGATTTTGTGATTGCACAAACTTCTGTAGAGCCGATGGCTGGAGCTGCTGCAAGTTGGCTGGTGGGGGAGCGATCGGTGGCTCGAAGGCAGGCGTTCCCGGTGTTGATACAAGCGGCTTGGGATAGTCGTCTGCAGTAGGAAGGCCAAACTTGATCGTGAAAAAGAAGGTTGAACCCTTGCCTGGCGCGCTTCGAGCATCCATTCTGCCACCATGGAGTTCGACAAATTGCATAGAAATGGCCAGTCCAAGTCCAGTGCCGCCATGTTGTCTCGTACTGCTCGCGTCAATCTGACTGAATCGCTTGAAGAGATACTTGGCCTCGGCGTCTGTGAAACCCTGTCCAGTGTCCACCACTTCAAATCGGATCATCGTCTCGTTCTCCTTTAGTGGTCGAGATCGATCGGACTGCTGCAGTTTACAGCGAATGAAAATCTCTCCATGCTCTGTAAATTTGATCGCATTGCCAACCACGTTAAGCAGGACCTGCCTAATGCGGAACTTGTCACCCTTGACTTCTGCTGGTACCCCTTCGTCTACCAGGTAATTGAGCTCAAGGCCTTTTTGAATGGCAAGACCCATGTTGAGGTCGTTGACTTCCTCGAGAAGAGACGGCAAATGCAGCCACTCCATGGAGAGCTTGATCATTCCGGCTTCAACCTTGGACAGATCAAGAATATCGTTGATGAGATTGAGCAAACTGTCGGTACTGGCTTTGATGATGTTGACGTGCTCCAGTTGCTCGGTATTGAGGACACTATCCAGAAGGAAGTTGACCATTCCTGAAATACCATTAAGTGGCGTTCGGATCTCATGCGACATGTTGCTCAAGAACTTGGATTTTGCGTCCATGGTCTCCTTGAGTGTTTGCTCGAGCAGCTTGTGGTCGTTGATGTCTGTGGCTGTTCCATACCAAGTCTCCTCGTCACTGGTTTCTGCAAGCGATTTCTCCAGTAAGATTCTCACAAGGTGCCACCTGTAATCACCATCTTTATTGCGGAGTCTGACCTCAGTCGAGTAAGATGCCCGCCCGTGAGCATCTTTAACGACCCTCAATATGCCAGTGCTTGCTAGCTTGGATAGCTTGGCTTGAGGCAAGTCCATCCTATCTGGGGATGAGCCACTGGGACTGGTGATGGTTCTTTCCGTTTCTGATGAAGCATCAGAAGCATTAGAGTCTTGTTGTCCCTGCTCAGGTGGCAAAGACGTAGGAACATTAGCAACACCATGCTCATCTAGCTCTGGAAGCTTGCACTTAATGACGTCATCAGGATGTACGTGCTCGAGGAAGCCATTACCAAGGGCCTGACTTTCGCTTTGGCCAGAAAATGAAATCCACTGCGAGTTGCAAAAGGTCAGACCCCTACGGTCTGACACGACGAATACAATCTGAGGACTCGAGTTGGCTAATGCGCGATACTTGGCTTCTGAAGCAGCCGTCTCCTGCTGGCGAGCAGAGTTCTGTTCTGCAATGTGCTGTTCGTGAAAGTCCATGTTGGTGCCGATCCAGTGCACAATTTGCTGACGCTTGTTCCTCAGTGGTGCCACTCGAACATAAAACCATCGATAGCACTCGTCGAAGCGCTGCAATCTGACCTTCATCTGGAGCTGCTGGCCAGTTCGCAGGGATCTACTCCATTCGTCCAAATATGCATCGCGGTCTTCAGGGTGAATTGAATCCCACGGGTTTTGCAGCACTTGGCGTGAGGTTTGACCACGATAAATGAGGAATTTGGAGTTGACCCAGCTGATTGCTCCAGTGTTGGGTGCGGCAGTAAATATCTGAACTGGCAAAGAATCGATAATGGTCCGAAGCAAACTCTCTGAAGGAGGCGGCATCTCAGAAGATTCAGTGGTAGACATTGTCCTTATACTGCCTTGGGGCACTTGCGGTCGCCCTCCTGGCGTGGTCGCGGCCGGCAGCGATTGAAATGACGAGCTAAAATCTGCACCATACGAGTGTAGGAACGAGTGACCACGTTTAGTAGTATCTTGTGCTTGTGTACGGCGGGGGCTCGACACTTCATCCTTCTTTTCCTCACGTGGCTTTGAAGCATCTTCCTTGACGTTTTCAGCCACCGGATTCACAGTCACTCGTTTCCCAGGGCGTTTGTCAGTTTTTCTTGAACTCTGATCTTGTGAATTCAAGGCAGCATTGTTGTTGGTCTTATTAGCTTGTCTCCTAGCGTCAAAGTAGCTTTCCACGGCCTCGCTGCCAGCAAGATGACCAGGCGTGCCACTATGCGAGTGCCTACTGGAGAATCCTAGCGAGGTGTCCCAGCCAGGCGTTCCGGCAATTGACCCTCCCGGACTGTATCTAGAGCGACTGGAGTAGTCAGACGGGCTAGTGACGCTACCTGCTGCAGAGTTGGTGATGTCTCCTAGGTCAAGATGAAGCAAATCTTCAAGACTGTCAGAGTCTGAAGACATGGTCATCCCTCCTGCACCACCGGTAGCAGCTCTTCGTTGTCGAATAGAAGCAACCTGAGTCTGAGCATTGGTGAAATGCCATGCATTCGAAAATGAGGTAGCTAGGTGAGGTCCCAGGTGTTTGAGAGAATTTGTCAAGTTTCGTGGATATGGCACGATAGGCGAAAGCAGTGAAAGAATGGCAATGGGTGCTTTCCGCACAAAATCGCCCTGATGGAATGAGGTGCCCACAGACTGCTCAGACTGTCTTCGTGACATTGCAGGTGTTTGTGATGGTGTGTTCGTATCTGTTGGTGCCATTGTTTGTGACAATGTTGGATGTATTAGTGGTATGTGCGTAACAGTGCTAGCTTTGTCGACGCCAATGGCCTCAACCATGCCATACTGCGTGTAGTCTGGTGGAGAGCGGGATGGATTGAATGTCTCTTCGTCGACATTACCAGTAGTAAAGAAAGGGTTAGCATCGGCATCATTCTGGATAGCCGGTGAGGGGGCAGGCGACTGTGCCCAAGGCGAAGCTGGATATTGCTCATACTCTTCGTAGCGCGGAGGCAATCTAGGATCACTGGATCCAAGACCGACTCGCCCACGGGCAGCAGCTAACTTGAGGGCTTCCTGCGCGGCAGCACTGCCCTGAACTGCAGACGGTTTGACCGGATCCGTCCTGTCTTTTTCTAAGTTTTCTTTGGAAGTTGAAAAGGACGTTGAATAGTCTCTTGTCAAGGTTACTAAGCGACCTCTCTCCAAAACGCGATTGACTCCCGAGTTGTCTATCAATGCGTCCGGCTCGTGGTCGAGAGCACGCAGGATATGGTACACGGCACTGGGCGGTGAGGGCTCTCCAATACTAGAGAATTCTGGGTCACTAAAAGTCGGGCCTCCCGTCGGAGTCGACTCCGCAAACGTGGAAGACATGTCATCAAAAGAAGCTTGCGAGACCTGTCGCAGCGGGTGATCTGGCCTTGAGCCCATATGGGGTGCATGGCTTGCAGATCGCAGTGGGCCTCTTGGGCGAATTGGTTGTGCAGGCATCGGGGTGTCCGGTGACATGGTTGGCTTTTGCCTTTCGTGGCCCGCAAAAGAATGATGTGAGAATAGCTTCGGTCGCCTTTCCGGAATGACTGTGGTAGGTGGAGTATCCACAGATTCCCCTTCCTGGGGATTTGATGTATTTTCGGATTGGAGGTTGCTGCTCTGACCTGCAGATTCTTGGTAGGTTGTGGCATATGCGCTAGTGTCGTTGGCAGATGCTGTAAAAGTGGCTTTCTGACCCCATGGTACGTTTTCAATATCCGAGGCGTCAGCTGGTACTGCAAGTGCAACCCGTTCTGCTCCATAGTGGTCGCGCATTATCGACGTCACAGTCGTCCACCATGCAGCCAACCCAGGCTCGGCACCCAAACGCAGGACAACATCATAGAGATTGGGACTAGGGAATCGTGGATCTTCAATGGCCGGGCTGGAATGCTGTCGACCTCCAGGTGCAAAAGGTGTGTTGCATGCAGCGGGGGTGCTGCTCTCCGAGGCGATGCGTTCCCTAGCTACCATATACTCTCGCGATTGGCCGGCAGAAACAGTAGGTGAGAGGTTAGTAAAGGGCATATGAAAAGCTGAAGCCCATCTCGGCGTGTTGGGGACCGTAGGAAAGGGATAGGATGGGGTCCGGAGAGGATGTGCGGCAGGCGTAGGTGGCATGCTTCCGCGGATGGTCCTTGCAGATTCGGTAGATTCGGTCGATGCAGTCGAGGCAGTCACGGTTGTGGGCAGCGGGTTTGGACTAGGAGTAGGGCTGCTAAAGGCTCCCTCGAGCGTGGGCGAAATTCCCGGCATGGGCTCTTCCTTGATGGGGGATATGCGACGAGGACCTGGCGTGTGTGCATTGGGGCTGTTGGCCGAGGCTCGCAGGCGTGCACGCTGTTGCTGTTGCTGCTGCTGCAGAACCTTCAACTGCAGACGACGCAGTCTCTCGACCTCGAGTTCATCGGGAGAGACGTTGCCCTGTGGCGGGTGGGCGGTGGTCTCTGTTGGAGTTTCGTCGGCCTGAGAGTCGGCGGCGGGTTGGTCGTCGCAATGACGGCTGTCAGTGTCGCTCATGTCCATATCGGCGGCTTCATCGTCGCGGTGGTTTGGGGGTTGCTGGGTCCGGGGCGAAGTTTGCGAAGTTTGGGATGGGTAGGACTTCGCGTCGCTGGCGGCCAATCTCTGCAGTGGCGGGCGCGGAGTGGGTGGCGTAGCAGTCGTAGATGTGGCTCTCTTGGAATCAGGAGAGGGTGTCGGGGCCTTTGACATTATGGCATTCCCCAGCGTGCCGCGTAGAGCGCAAGTGGCGTGGTGATGGGGTCGGGGTCGGGATAATATGGTGCATAGATGGGACGGGTGGGCTATGACGTCGCGGAGAGAGTTCCTGGCAGCACGGGACGGTGAAGAGGCAGCAACAGCAGCACCACGGAGAGGGCGACGGGGCGGATCAGCTGGGGCTGAGGCTGGTGCTGTAGCCACAAAGCGAGTGGGCGCGGGGAGTCAGAGGGGAGCAGCGGAGAGGTGGTTGGTGAGAAAGAATTGGGTCGTGTCGTGGGTGGGCGTGAGGCCGGGATCAGGAGCAGGAAGAGCCTTGGTCGCAGCTTCTTCTAGACGGCTTCTGGAGCCAGGCCAGGCCTGCACCGAGTGACGGCAGACAGGACGGCAAGCGTGCGGGCAGGTAAGTAGTGCGGAAATGGGCTGGGGCGCAGGCGGTTGATGGCGTGCAAAAGCGTGCGGGCGCCGAAAAGCGTCCTCCTACGGGCTCATTGCAGCATCCCGCGCGAGCGAAATTGACTGTTGGCGGACGGGCGTGCTCTGCCCATGGTTGTGCTTGGCGGCGACGTCATTCAGGGACTCGCGTAGATGCCTAAGTAAGCCGAGAGGTTGTCGCAGTAAGGAGTGTACGCCCACCCTATTCACTAACACGCACTGCTTACAGCCAGCTCAACTCCATCCCCATCCCCTGCTGCCGCCCAACCGTGGCCACGATGCCCATGCCAGCCGTTGTCTCTGCTCATTCAGTTGTGGCTGTGGCTGCGTCTGCAGTCACGTTCTCGTTGTGCTCCACCGCTTTTGTTTTTTTGCAACCTTGTCTGCCCGCAACGGCTGCATCTGTCCTGGCTGGAGCCGAAATGGTATGCCCCGCGCGTGTGATTGGCCAGCTCGCCATGTTCCATTTTGCCATGCCCCCCACATCGGGCTTAGCGCCCTCCCTTCGTCCATCGCAATCGCAACCTCGATGCTGCTGGCTCACACCGGCCATTGACTAGCCCACTGCTAGACGATTCACCAGAGCCTCACTGGCGACGCCCTCCGCCCGTATGTGATTGACGTGTCGACTGCGCTATCCCGCTACCAGACGCCCATGGCACCATTAGTGGTGCCATACTGCTGGCGACTGTAGCCCCCCCCCCCCTGGTCCTGCATCTGCAAGCTTTGCTTTAACTTGCAACCACCTTGTGCGGCTTGCGCGCTTGTGCGTCCAATTCCTGCTGCATCCGTGGCAAGCATGCCTTGTACGCTCGCCTCGCATCTGCTGCTTATTGCAATTGCGGCTGTGCGCATGCTGGAGCGCCCACGCGAAATCAAAACTCGCTCGATCCCTCACCCATTCTCTAGTCGTCAGGAGTGGATACCCCCCTCACGTGCCTTGTCCACTTGCACCAAGCAACCCCCACCTGTCGTCCTCTCTCCCCGACAAAGTTTCGGTACGTGCAATCTGCCAGACGCCTCACATGCGCAACACGAATATGTTCTGCATACATGTCATACGATATTTGCGACTCGCCATGTCTAGTCTGAAATCCCGGGAACACGATCCGCGCCAATTGCGGGTACCTTGCATTGCCCACCACGGACATACACGGGATCTACACACAACCGATCACATACGCGCCACAGCCGAAACTCAATCACTGCAACTTGTCTCTTTACTACCACTGCACCATCATCTCCAATGTTTTAAACCCAGCGTCATGCACTCCTCGCGTTATTTTGTACCGGTGCGTCGTCAATAATAGGGCTGCGCAATCATACTGCGAATATCTCGTGCCATCCCTGTTCCCTGTCATGACATAGGCAGCACAGCGGCCCAAGCCGGCCCTGATTCAGTGACAGATCGCGATGCACCGGTTGCTGTATTCGAGCAAAACTATTGGCCAATCACATCAATCCGAACATGAACGTTATTCCTCACACATGGCTGCCACGATCCACCTTAACCGTCGTCCGAGTCAGCCCCACTCGACTTACCTCCAGATCCTAGCTTCGCCTTGTGCGCTGTCTGTGCAAACATGCAGCATCATGCCTGAAGACATGTCTTATCTATAGACGCACGTATCTATGTCCAGTCCTTGGCATACGGCGTCCCACTGACTGTGGGGAGAAGCCACAAATCTGTTTTTCACATTATAGCCACATCCCCAGTTTGATCTTGTTTGCATGAACAGCCACACAGCTAAATAAGTTTCATGACTATTTTGGGGCAGTGGTGAAACATACGAAACTCTCTTGTGTGCGACTTGAGAGCACATGAAAACTACTGGAACGTCGCAACGTCATGTATACTCTTTGACGCCATTGACCAATGTCTCCCACTAGCTTTTCATGCTTGTACAGTTACATTATCTGGTCTATTGTAAACAATTTTTACACCTCATGGATCCTGTCTTCTTTTCTCTTTGCAGCTATGCTTAGTTAAAAACTACACGTGTGACTCGCCATATCTCCATGGTAACATTTCTGCGTATGGAACCCTGCATAGGTATGCAGTTAGTCTTGCATATGTCATAAGCACGTAGATGCTAAAGACACCACCCCCTTACAGTTAATGATAAAGGCGCGTGAAACCACAGCAAAAGGCGTCCCTCATCGGCGTTGCGACACAAGGAAAACATCTCCGTGACTTCCCTGGCTCAGCCACTGCCGTCCAATCAGCCTTCAACACCCAAACCCTCTTCTCCGCATTCCGGTCCCTCGGTTTTCCTCCACATTCCGCGCCCGGCCCAATTCCGCCATGCCGCTCACATGCCGATGGAACCCATACTAAACCATTGCCCGAGGATGCTGCCATACTGAACCACATATCTCCAGGAATTCTGCGTTCCTTTTCCACAACAACTCGAGGGGGCACCTCTGGCAAAAAAAATTGCTTCTTGGACAGTAGCTTTTCTTCGGTGTTCGCACACGCAGTCGAACAAGATGCCTTCAATATCCCACACTCTCCGCACTGCGCGCACCTTTTCGCGAAGTACAACAAAGGTTATTATTACCTGCCCATAAATTGGCTGTGCACGTATTCCAGGGCAGCGATTGACTCTAATAGACATATCTCAACCTCTCGCGCTCCTTTTCTTCGTCTCTCCGCCGCAATGAGATCAACAAAGTCTATCCCAGCGCTGCAGCCGCCATCGAGGACATGCAGCCCAACAGCACACTGCTCTGTGGTGGATTCGGTCTCTCTGGTGTGCCAGACACACTGATTGAGCAAGTCAAGAACACGCCCAGAATCACCGGACTGACTGCCGTCTCCAACAACGCCGGTGTCGTTGGCGGTGGTCTCGGCCTGCTCCTCGAAAGCAAGCAAGTCAAGAAGATGATTGCCAGTTACGTAGGCGAGAACAAGGTCCTCGAGCAAATGTACCTCACCGGCGAACTCGAGCTGGAACTCACACCGCAAGGCACTCTGGCCGAAAGATGCCGAGCAGGCGGCGCCGGCATCCCAGCCTTTTACACGCCCGCCGCCTTTGGCACCGTCGTCCAAACCGGTGAACTCGCCCTGCGTCACAACAACGACGGCAGCGTAGCCCAGTACTCGACTCCCCGCGACGTCAAAGTCTTCTCGGGCAAGTCGTACGTCATGGAAGAAAGCATAAAAGGCGACTACGCCTTCATCAAAGCCTACAAAGCCGACCGCTTGGGCAACGTCCAATTCCGCTTCTCCGCCCAAAACTTCAACGGCGCAATGGCCCGCAACGCCACCACCACAATCGTCGAAGCCGAACACATTGTCGAAGTCGGCGAAATCGCCCCAAATGCCGTCCACGTCCCCGGCATCTACATCGACCGCGTCATCCAATCCACAGCAGAAAAGAAAATCGAAAAAGTAGTAAACGCCAAAGACCCATCCGAGGCAGTAGCCAGTCTGGGTAAACGCGACCGCATCGTCCGCCGCGCAGCCAAAGAATTCAAAAACGGAATGTACGCCAACCTCGGCATCGGTATGCCCATGCTCGCCCCTTCCTTTGTCGACGCCAGCGTAGAAGTTCAACTCCAGTCTGAAAACGGCATCCTAGGCCTAGGACCTTACCCGCAAAAGGGCCAAGAAGACCCCGACCTCATCAATGCTGGCAAGGAAACCGTTACCCTGGCCCCCGGCGCTTCATGTTTCGGCTCAGAAGAATCCTTCGGAATGATTCGTGCGGGCAAGATTGATCTTACAATCTTGGGAGCCATGCAAGTTTCGGCGAGAGGAGACCTCGCGAATTGGATGTTGCCCGGCAAAGTTAAAGGGTTTGGAGGCGCCATGGATTTAGTGTCGAATCCCGAGAAGACCAAGGTGGTGGTTACGATGGAGCATACGGATAAGAAGGGTCGCCCCAAGATTTTGAAGCAGTGTGAATTTCCGCTCACGGGTAAGGCGTGTGTTAGTAGGATTATTACCGAGTTGGTGAGTTTTTTTTAGTTATTTTTTGGTTGCTTTCCCCCCCTTGTTATCCCTTCTTCTTCTTTGCTTTGTAGATATGTGGCATGGTTACTGACGATGCAAACAGTGCGTATTCGACGTCGATTTCACAGAAGGCCTTACCCTAGTTGAACTCGCAGATGGCGTTACCGTCGATGAGATTCGACAAAAGACTGGTGCCGAGTTTAAGGAGGCGGCTGAGATTAAACCAATGTTGTAGTTTTTTTCTCTTCCATCTATATCCTAACCAACCCCCCCCCAAAAAAAAGATGCGAATGAAGAAACGAAGAAAAAAAAAGACTAGTAATGAACAAGTTCTATCAAAAATAAAAACAAGGATATTTATACCAAATGATTTTTATATACTTTCCCCCACCCCCCAACCTTTTATACACCTTACCATCCCTCTATCTACAGAAAGAACAAACAAAAAAAAGACTACAATAAACGAAGAATGAAACTGATTGATAAAAACTCCCACTCTTTTACCTACGAAAAAAAATACGAAATACCGAGAGTTCCACTTCCCACACCCCTATACAGCGTCGTCCCCTGAAACTAGACAAACACATCAAACACCCACTAA